CAGGAAAAGGTTATTAAGTGGCACTAAATAATTGCTCAGATGATGACTTCGTCGAAAAGAAAATTTTCTTCGCTGCAACTGTCTTCTTATTTACTCCTATGACCCAATGTGTATATTCCGTAATTGCTCAGTCATTGTACGTATATATGTGATAAGAATAACGATAATTAAAATGTTATAAGGGGTAGAGTTGAAGTGGATAAATTACAAAATTATTAAAGATTGTTTCATAAGTGAATTGATATCAAAAATGTCATGTGTTGTCTAAAAATTTTGAAAATTAGGAGTACGATTACGATAAGAATGAAGATGTGAAGTGAAGTGGAAAGAATTCAAGTGGTAAAATAAAATAAAAACTAGAAAGAACATACTATGACCAAGGTAAAGAAAGGGGTTTGACAAAACGTTTTTGAACACATAATTTAGGTTTCTGTTCACGTATAGCTAAAACTTCGGCTATGCATAAGTGAAGAAAACGTAAACTTTTGGATCGATTCGATTTTGCCATGCAGATAACTTTGAAAGATGAATTACGTGGGGCTAAATGACCAGACTCTAACAGGTGATCACAAATAGACGAATTCGTAGTTCTACGTTCGCTTTTCATTAAGCGAACCGGATAATGTTCAGCTACACGTTTTCGGAGATTACGCTTACAACGTCCAATATAAACAGCTCCACAAGATCAGGTAAAAGAGTAAATGCACATAGATGTGGACAAAAGCGGTAATCTATCCTTGACGCATTGTCTAATCATATTTCGGCTGGTAAAAACTAGTTGCAAGTCAGCTGCAGGAAAAGTGCGTTTAAAACATTTAGATAAAAGATTTTTAATTAATTCCGAAATGGTGCCACCTTTGAATGCAAGACCCGTAAACAGTTTTCTCTTTGGAAGTGTGATTTGTCTAAGGGTGGATTCTTTCTTGATGTTACGTTCAATGAACCTGGTAGGATAACCATTGTTAAGGAGATTTGATCTAAGGTTATCTAGTTCCCTATCGATTGTCCCTGCAGAGCAGATTTTACGAATTCTGAAGCATAAGGAATGAATAAGATTCCTCTTTCTCCCTAAAGGTACCCAACTGTTGAAGCTAGTGTACTGCCCAGTGAATGTTGGCCTTCGGTAAATCGAACTTAACAGCGATCCGTTCTCACTTCTATCTAGCTTAACATCAAGGAAGTGAAACGAGGAATTCGACTTTTCTTCGACCGTGAGAAGCAAAGATGGGTGAGAACCACTAAATATTCTAAGAAGTTCGGAAGTTGAAGAGTTTTCATCACATACAATGAAAGGCAGTTTAAGTTAGAAGAAGAGAATGCATGCATACAATAGTAAAGTAGTTACGTATTCAGGACGTCTAGAAAACAACAAGCATCTAGGTGCAGTAGAAATTTGAAAGATAGGTCTCATAACATAAATAAGAATTTGAACAAAGCAAGAACTACAGTTTTAGCAGAATAAAATGGTACCATCTTTTATTTCGTTGCCTTCTCGTCAGCTGCTTACATGGCATGCTTTGTTCAAATTCATTAAGGGGAATAAATGTATAAATAAGAATAACGGTAGGAAGCCTTCAACCAGCGTGTTTGCCACTACATAGTAGGTCAAATTAGACATGTCTAAGACTGGGAGCAGAGGAATTCTAGGTTTATGTACTTTCGACACACTATATAATCGTCAAGCTCTACTTCCAGTGGGTTAAAGAAAGTTATAGGCTGCCTCAGGGAATACTCCAATTTTCCTCAGCTCTTTCAGCCTGTTTGTTAGCTGCTTCTCAGCCATTTCGTCTAAATCCGTTGAGCTGTGAAAGCATCTGGAATTTCGTTTCATAGACTGAAAGCGAATTCATTTTGTCAACGTACTCACATTTACAGGTCGTTAAACACAGAAAAGACAACATGACTCTTAGGACTAAACGAAAGAAAATACTGGATCCATGAATGACAAGGCCACAAGTCACTAACCTAGGAGTGCGTTGGTAAAATAGTCATTTCAATGACAAAATACACAGTATTTATTTGTAACTCACACTGTTAACTATATTCACTTATAATAAGTTACGATACAGAACAGTAAAACTCAATTCACTTAAATGTTAATGTGATAATGAGGAAATCCAAGGATGTAAGTGTTACGCTAGGAAGAAGTTGCAAAACAACCGAATCACACTAGGAGTTCCCTGATTCACCAGTATACCCCTCTGTCTGGTATCCCGATGCAAATCCTATCTCCTGGTCCTAAAATCTGAACTATTTCTTCCAGAGTTGTCAAATTGAACACTAAGGTGGAATTCAAAAATCTTGCCATTCGGGGACACAGGACTTGCTTCCAACGTCTTATGAAAAAATCAAGTCTACTATGCAGCATTGTTAATTCCAATACAAGAAGAAGCAATGTAGACAAAGGCAAATGAACCATGTTGTAAGGTATAGATTGCCTTTTTCAGGTCCTTGGGACGCTGACAACCAGTGGCTTCAGATTGTTATCAATCAAATGAAACACAAGAGAACTTCTTATGAATTTAATTAGGCCTTTTCCGAGCGATGAAGGAAGGTGTTCAGTAAAGCGTTTGCTGAGGTGTCTACTTGTTTCCCACAGGAGTGGATACATTTATAAATGCACATGGAAGTGGGACAGCTAAGCAGCTTATCTTTCGCTTGAGGAATCATAATTGGTCAACTGGAAAATGACAAACGAAGGGTGGCATCAGAATGTCTTTTTTATGGCGCTAGATAATCCAACAGTTGGTGTCATCACGGGCAGTAATTTTGCACAAAATATTACCAAAAACAAAAATCGTATCATTGTGTGTAAACTATTGAAATATAATTATAATTTATTTGATCTCTTTAACAATGCTCAAACGTTTTACTGACATTAATTAGATGTAGGACTTCATCAGCCACGTCCACATTGAATTGCAGCTTCAGGAACAATAGCCATGGTCGACTTCTCTGTTACGCACAGTAGAATTACGGATTTGGACCAGCGTATTTTCGATGTGTCCTAATTTACTTTCTACGGAGTCAACGATACAGAATCCTCTTGTTCTTCTTGTGAGACATCTGACCAAATTAATACTGTATTGGATTGGTACAAAACTGAAGAAATGTGTATATTACCCTACAGATGTAGTTTTTCTGAATGAACCATCCTCTTCCTCTGCTCAACTGAATATCGAGGAAGTGCAAACAACCATAATATTCTTCTTCACAAGTGAAGATGAACCATGGATATACATCATCAAATTTTCACCACATTTCTTTCTTGTCAGCTTTCTCATAAAGAGTAATAAATGTATCATCATAACGAAAATGGGAATCCATTTTATCTTTTACTTTTTGCAATCGACCATTCTTAAACCTAGCGAGAAAGAACTCTTCTAAAATTGAAACTAACGGAGAATCCATGGCAATACCGTCAACATGTCTGTAATAAAGGCTGTTGAGTGTGAAGTGTACTTTCATAGTGCCTCTTAGAAGCACACATGGTGGGGCATGCTAAACTGAGCTACTCTCTATGCTACAGAAATCTTCCCTAAAGATAAGGTTGATAGGAAACTGGAGTAATCTCATGCAATACTCTTACGCAATGGATTTCCCAGAAGGTTTTTTGGGAGAAACATGGAAAACAAAACTACTCGAAACAATACACAGTTCATTAGTTCTGCGTCCAAAGGTGATACTAATGCCGTACTACTGTATTTAATACAAACGGACTAACGCTTAATATTTTCCATAGAAATAATGATCCAAGGATAAATTAGTGGCTGTATCCGTCTCGATGTGCATCGACTCATGCATATGTGATGCTGTCTACTTAGGAAGTTTTAAAAGTTTTCTTCCGAAACGTATAGCTTAACACTACCCAGTTTGGTTGGTAAAAACGAGCAGAGGATGACAAAAATCTTCGATTTGCAAGCATTTGGAGTCAGATTATTGAGTCGCAGGTAGCTTATGTCTTGAAATAATCTGCAATGCCAACGTCAATCATTCTTAAATTCTACATTTTCTCCACTTATGTGTAACCTAGGCTCTACCTAAAGCAAAAGGGAGAAAAACCTACACTGTGCATTCAAGAAATTTATGTTTAACTTCTTTTTTTATCTTGATCACAGTGTGCTGGCGTGATACAGTTAATTGGTTCCAATGGAATATTATTCCCATAGTAACAATCCTTACATTTGTTGGTTTTATCGTCTGAATACCATTCACACAGTTCATTACAGCGTTAGCAACAGAATATCTTGTATATTTGAACACTTTATTACATTCCGTTTAATCTAAACTAAAATCATAGGGTCAGTGATTGGTTGAAGATAGCTGTTCGGTCACTTGAAAATATACCTTGGCTTCCATGTCTTACCTTCTACTGTTGCAACAGTAATGTTGTCTTTATTTTGTTCGATCTTAATTCATTCCATCTAATTTCATCTACGCCTTCCCATTGTTATCGTCATCATCACAATTTCAATTTTTTGACAACACTTAACCACCTACTTTTAAAATCATTATAGCAATTAATTATCTTTAAAGTTTTTGTGAATCATCCACTTCAACTCTGTCTCGTTAATGTTAATAATGTTAATTTCCAAGTACTGGTTTGTGCGGATTTTGTTCGATTGGTTGGAGGATTTCATCATGAGCTGACGTCGGTTAGAGTACTATTGGAAAAGCAGCTGGGAATACTTGAAAGCTGTTTCGTCCTAGTTTGGGACACACTTCGTCAGTACGCACCAACCAGGACCTTCTGGTTACAAGGTTAGCTCGTAGACAATTAAGGCAATGGAACTTACTTACTTTACTTTACTTCGGCTATCTCCTACGGGAGGGTGAACCGGCTTCATGAACATCTCGAATGTTTGTAAGAGAGTTGATGAAGTTTCATGGGAATTGGGTACGAGTGATGTCCCCAGCATCGGCAATGGAACCCGATCCAACGGCCAATGAATTATAATAAAAATTAAAACAACTTGTATACGGCAACATTTTATATATTATCAAATTCGATTCCCACAAGTTTTCATGCACACTGACAAAAGTATCAACTGCATAACACAGATAACTGGAGAAAAGACTGTACTATAGGTTAAATTACTCTGATCTAAATAGACGAATCTTTGAAAAAGAACTAATTTGAAGGCAAATATGCAAATATTGAATAATAATTTGTATGTTGTATCTAATACTATAGATGACCAGGGAGACGGTGGCAGATAATCAGGACGAAATCCATAATAACGAAGACTTTGACGTACAACCTATACAAAAAACAATAAATACGTCTAGTTACAACGACAAACACAAAGATTATGCCAGTGTGTTAAAATACAACTTACTTTATGATAGTGTATACGTCTGAAAAATACCACAAGGTTAAAGTAAAGAACTAAAATATCTGCACACCATAATGGCAAGAAGATCCACCAGAATTGTAAAAATCTTTCATTACTTTTCAATAATAAACCAAGAATTTCCTCATCCCAAAGAACAGCTGCAATCAAGCTACAGATGATTCCCACTATGTGAATGCAAAGCTCCAAAGGACTGATATGAAGCCAGTTAATCAGTTCATTAAGAGATATAATCATCCAATGGATTAAAAGAGTACACCATTTGTTCAAAAATGTTGATAGAATCAAACTGACTGAAACTGATGTTCAAATTCTGAAAAACAAAGATGAATCAAGCTAGAAAACAACAAACGAAAAATAAGTTAAAGGAAATAAATGACATTCATCCGAAATACTAACTTATATTGCATCTTTTTATAATTATAAATGACACTATTTTTCCGTCTAAATATCTTTCTATCATCAAGGAACTAAGTAAAATCAGGAAAAATGGGTGAATACCACGTGGCTAACTTGACCATAAACGCAAATCGGTAGCGTATCTTCGAGTATTGACAATTAGTTCCAATTTTACAATATTCGACCTAACGGCTGAATGACAAACAGACTCGAAGACTACTCAACAAGTCGCAAAAGTGCATAAGTGAGGAATGCCATGTACTCCCTTGTACCAAAACCCCAAATCTGAAAGTCTACAACCGACTCTATGTTTGCCGAATATATAATTCGAAAGCGGAGATGAATTATTTCCCTTATTGCAAAACGTCTCCTTGTCGCTCAAACGGGCCATGGAGTCAATTTTAATGAAATGTCAATCTATGCAAAATAGGCCAGAAAACCTACTCTTCGAAATTCGATTATTTCTATACGGAATAACTGTACACTGCTAGTCATGACAATAGTATACAATCTTAGCGTAAACTAATTATGCACAGAATAACCTATCTTACATTTAACAGCACGTCAGCTCTATAAGGCATTAAAATAAAACATTTGTAAGACACAACATTAATACATTCAAAATAAAACAATCATGTAACGAATATATATACATATATATTTTCTTTGAAAAAATACAACAAATGAAAGGGCTTCGTACAAAAGAATTCATACAAAGATCAACTAGTGAAGTACAGAGAGTTACCACCACCACTGACTGTTTTAGGTAGGTTTGAAAATACACAAACTTCGCCAGCATTATTTTTATTGGTAGTGTCGTTTTCCGGATTGAAACGATCAGTCGCTTGACTCTCAATAGAATTTTGTTGCACACTATCTTCGTCGTCGGACAATACAATAACTATGGGCTCATCGGACAGAGATGTGCTTTGAAGTTTATCAGCTTCACAACTATGGTGGAATGTTTCCGACAGAAGTTTTGGACAATCAACAACACCTCTTTCATTACAAGAACGAGTTAGTTCGCCTGAAATTAATTCATTGTCACTAGTCACACTATGGTCACCATTATTATAGGCATCCGTTTGTATATTGTTTGATAAATGCGATGAGGTGTCAGCAATCATACCATTCCTACTTTCATTCGATAGATTTGGCGCGTTTTTCGCTTTGGAATCGCTGTTACATCCATCTATGATTATTAATGAGGCTGGCATACCAGGAAGATCTGCATACATATCTTCAAGTAGATCCTGAAGATTACGAACCGCTGAAAATGAAGAGAAACAAATTGAGTGATCCAGTTCTCTTCAATACATTAATCTCAGAAAAACGTGTTCGAGATATAACTATAACAATACTAAATAAAAAGGGAATACTTTCACAAAAAAAGTGGGTTTCACTATGTTTGTCATCATACAAATGCAATATTATGTCAGAAGAAAGCAGTGTCGTTACAAACACACTAGACCAGAGACATTAACATCAACGTAGAAACAAAAATTACACTGGAAATACTTGTGTAACGTCAGAAGACAAGGGCCAGACAACAGATCGTTTATTGAGATAATCAAGAGATATGTATAGAATTTTATGTGCATTATTGTCAATGGTGAGGTATTGTCTTCTGACTGGTTGTTTTCTTGCTGAGAGTTATTATGTACCACTTGTGGCCATTTCTCAGAAAGTTAAGCTATACATCTGCGAATCGCATTTGCACACACTAAGTCTGCTGTGCAAATACCAGAGATATGGAAGATATTATTACCACCAGTCAAATCAGAGGAGGATAATAAAGAATTTTAAAATTCTATTTCAATTCAAGCACATCACAACATTCCAACAAGTGACTTATTATGACTATAAAAACACTCGTCTTATTCCCCATCTGATTGTATTTGATATCTGGATGTACATTATGATATAATAATTTTTATTCAAATGTCTGATCAATTTCACTCATGTATATAAATGAAGTAAAAAGTTGTCTGAGTGACATGATATGATTATGAGTAGCAATAGTTTGTGCTCGAAACGTGGCCATCAGTAAATATTACTGTATAACAGTGTGTGTTTATCAAATTTATCTATAATGGAGGTATACTCCACCACAGTGCCGAAGTTTTATACTTATATCAATAAGTCTGCTGTGACTGGTTGATGAGCCAGTTTTGTTCTCTGTACGCCTAGGTTTTTTTCTTTTTCTCTCTCTCAGGCGTCAGGGTATGTGAGCTTCAGTCATGATGCTATAGATGACAATATTTACTCTTAGGAAAGATTGAGAAAGTAAAACTCTTATCATCACATACATCATTTACAAGAAGCACAATAAAATATTGTATACATTACAGAGAATCTATCTATGTTAGGCAAAATTATTGAACACTACTACTCAACAAACCTGCACGTGTTGCTTCTTTTGCTTTTGAATCCTTAGGTAAAACAATACATTTATTGGTATCCGATAGAATTAATTTGTTAGATAAATTAACAGCTGCATCTTTAATACGACCTGAATCTAATGATGTCTGGTCTGTGCTTCTGGTAACAGCAACTTCAGCAACTTCATATAAAGATTGTTCGATAACTAAAGCTTGCTCAATCAATTTTAAACGATCCGTTAAAAAGGCATGAAATTCGGTATAGTCTGAGGGAATACGTACAGGCACAGTTGCTAAACGTGAATAAAAAAAAGTGGAATTTGAATTCATCCAAAAAGGTTAAGGGATGAATTCAAAGTCTGTATTAATGTTATGATAACAGCATTCAATAAACGATTGAGATTCGAGAATTATTGATAAAAAGTCACTGACAAAAGTTTTTTATGCAGCTCAGATGTACAAAACATAAATGAATTTATGCATTGACACTGTGTTATAATTTGAATACCTTAAAATCTTTTCCAACCATCTTCAATTAACACTGATATATGAGTTGTACTGTAGGTGGTAGGGTTTTCTCATTGCTCCTTCTTTAAAATAAGACAGCCAGAGACAATGAACTGCTAAATCTTAGTTAGGCCTTAAAGCCGAAAATGAGAGAAAAGTTACTGCAAGATTTAACGTTTGATCGTAGAGGCGTGATAACTAAGCTTTGTAACACCATCTTTAGCAATAACTTATTGCCATCTCATCTTCTCTAACTTTAGTCCAACCGCAATCGAAGAGTTTTCGGTTATATAACAACTTTGGCCGTGAAATTCCACTGGTTCACACAAAGTCCAACACTCTTTGTTTCGTGTAGTGGTGAAACTCCCTGCAGTCAATTAGTCATTATTATTCTTCCACCTTGCACAATAGGCTTTGTTGGTCTACACTCCATTTCAATCGTAAATTAGCGAAGTACTCTTTTTGTTGGTTGCCTCTGAGGTATACTTGACCTAGAATATTCTAAATGTTCATTTGAGATGCTAGTAGATTTTTTTTTCTGTCGATAAACACATATATGGAGACAACAATTCACTCTAAACATCTTAAGAATTTACTGTCCTTCAGATTTTCGTTGTGCTGAATGTGCTAAAGAGTATTTTAAACATAACGATTGCAAGCGACATTGCTGCTGATGCTTAAAATTTGTTCTATGTAAGTAGATTTACTGCATACTGCAATGATGAAGAATAGTCAGTTATCATTTCTCCTTCTTACAATGTTTTCCACTTAATTGCCTTTGAAAATCATAAAAGTATCGTCAGGTTATCTTATCCAAACATACTGTTTGATTAGCACAATGAAAATTGATACCAACCCGTGCATTATAGATTTACCAACCAATCTTGATATTGACGATAGCACGGATGTTTAATGATTGATTGTACCGTGGTAATTTACTTCTTCTCCGCAAATATTTTCTATGGTCACCTTTTAAAGGCGGGAAGACAGAATAAATGCCTCTTCTGTGGTCTTCCGCAGAAAACTCACTGCTAATAGTACATACTTATAAGCCGGTTGTCACTAGAAACCTTTCGCATTGCAAATAACTTATTTTCAATGGTAGCTGACTTTAATCTAACTGCTTTCAACTAGATATTTTTTGGCGTAAGAATTTTTTCCATTACAGCTTGATTCCACATCGTATTTTCGGTAGAAGTATGGAATTCTCAGCATGCAATAACGGTAGCCCAAACTTTGTAGACCGACAACTAATATCAGGTATGCGTCGGCAGGGCATCAAACCCCTGGTCGGTGAGAGTCCTAACCACTGTGCCACCGACGCATGCTTGCAAGATGATCTGTTTCAGTCAGGCAGCATACATCCTCGATTCATCACAGTATTGCAATTCATGGTTATAAGCAACAAAGTATGTTGGAAAAGTTATCTAACAAACACTTTTAACAACTAAATGCCAGAGTATACAAATAATGTATCACGAAACTACATTATCATAGTAGTATTTGAATTATTTCTTGTTCTGTAACGGTTGAAAACGTGCTTTTTTCACAAAAACGTCCTCAGTGTTAGTCAAATTAATATTCAACTGGCATATACAATCAGGAACGGAATGGAAACGAGTTAGAGAAACAACATTGTCAATTTTTAAAACAAAACAAAAAAACAACAACATCTAATTAGTTACTGAAAAACTGCTTATTCCGCGCCTTAGTAGCTTAAAATTAATATATCTGTTGGTTAAAGTGACAGTATACGTCGCTATAACGGCTTGCATAACAAACAAATGACTTCAGATAGGATTAAATATACACTTCATCTTACATAGAAATTATTCATGAGATACATTTCATTCCCAAAATAAAACTTATATCCGCAACATTATCATCCCAGAGAATGGCATTCAGGTTGTCCACATAAAAAACGCAACACATATGACCCTCCTGGCGGTA